CCCCCCCCCCCGGGTAGTGTTAGAAGAATCATCACTCTCAGCCATATTCYACACATGCTTCCTTACAAGGGTTGAGATGCATTCAATCATTGAAAATAGCTTTTGGTACTTCTTTTTTACATAAAGAAGCACAGGGAAGTATTGGTGGCATAGAGGTGAGAGTGCTCGCTTCTCATCAATGCGACCCGAGCTTGATTTCTCATGTTGAGTCCAGTGTTACATGCAGCTGTRTGTGAATAGAGTTCCTAGTTGGTTCTCTCCAGTACTTCAAGGGTTTTCCGGGTTCTCCAGTTTTCATCCATTCACAAAAATCAACTCCTAAATTCCAATTCGATCATGGAACAAGAGCCACAGGTTTGTTAGCCACTGGCTATTAAGCGTTACCCTCATAAAAAAACAACAACTTTTTTTATAAATGCAATTCAGAACTAATTCAATCCCTGTTCACTTCTGTTCACATGCTTTCAGTTCAACCCCGTTGAGCTGCGCCACTGCTGTACTTGCGGTGGTGATTAGCGATGACAAGTTCAAGTTTTTCTAATAGGCTTGGAAGGTTAAAGTTTTACCTTGATCAGCCTTGGAAGTGGAGCGATGCTTTGTCTTTCTTTGAGGATCAACTCCAAGTCTCTTTAAAAAGTCCATGTAGTTTAGGGTGCTGCCATTACGTGTCATATCATGCTTGCACCACAATCTACATGTAAATATACCAAGCAGAAATAACTATCAATAAGGATTAAGGAATGCATGGTGCTTCACAATGATAAAACAACAGAAACTGAACCTAAACTAATGGTTAGTTTAATTGTTACTGTAAAAACTGCCAGCAGAAAATAATATTTTTGATACAACAACATAAAAAAGGGGGGTGCCCGACTTCGTTTTAGAGCTATGAGCTATCAGAGATTAAACACGTTATTATGAGATTTTGCTTACCAAAACGTTGGAATGACGTCATAAAGATAAGGGCACACTTACTAAATTCATGCGTAGAGAGGATGCGCGCAAACAATGCCCGTGAACGTTCTCAAAGGTACAGTACTAACAGCAACAAAGTTACACAGTCTGTTGCTAAACAATGTTGTGTGACATATTGTAGAAATAAGGTTGCTTGTATTAGCACTCTGAAACTTTTTTTTGTTGCACAAATTAATACTCTTCACTCTTTAATGAAAATGGGATTGAGAGATAGTATCACAATATCATTATTTTTACCTGTCAAACTGCTGATCTGTCAACTTAAAGCAAAAGTTTTCAAGAACTCTTCTCAACTCATGTCTCTGTATTTGCTCATCTCTGTTATAGTCAAACAGTCTAAATGCTTTCAACACACTCTGAAGTTGGCCACTTATCTACAAAGCATTTATCAAAAGAGTGGTTCAGACTTAGAGCCTAAATGATCCCCCATATACCTGATAGGCTAATCTATCAAGGACCACTGAGCACAACAATACAAGTGGAGGAGTTGAGATCAAAATTTATTTGTTATTAATCAGAAGTAGTGGGGGGGGGGGGGCTATAGTACCCCCTACCCCATCCCCACCCCTTCATAGTCCCTGTTTAGTGTTTGATTTGATGTAAGCGGTTCAATGTAAGTACCACATACTGCCCCTAACATTATATTTTTATTAATAAATTAATACTTAGATCTGATAGTATTGGATCATTAGGTTACCTTGGTTTTTATTTTGTTCTCGACATCCTCAAATGGTTTTTCTACAGGTGTTTTAGCCTGGTTGAACCTAGAAAAAAAGAGATTGAAAAATAGAAAATAATAAGCCAAAGAATTCAGGTTCCTATGAATAAAACTAAGATACATACTTGTGTAGGCTGTCCAACCACCTCATACCATCAGCCATACCACCTCTAAGATGAAGTTTTTCCAGGAATTCCAGATAATTGACGCTACCATCTCTATTGATGACAGCCTGGCAAAAATTAGCCAAAAAAAGAAAATACACAAGATATAAATGGCAATTAAGATTTAAAGATAATGAATAAGCCTATAGTGTTGGTACCTTTCTTAAGATATGATTAAATTGATCTTCAGTCATAGGACAACAGAATGATTCCAAAACTCTTCTGAATTCTGACTGAGTAACTGTGAGGTTTTTCTCTGCATCTAATGTCTGGAAAGCCTGGTAGAGAATATAGAAACATATATATTGTTCACATGTATTTCCAGTATAGAAAAATTTATAATAGATTAATGTCACAGGCAAAAACAGTAGCTTCATTTAACAGCGTTTTCCAATCACACACATGAAATTGTAAAGTTTGCCGTCACGACAAAATAAGGTGGATGTCAATCAAAGTATTCCAATGAGTTTGACAGGTAAAAAACAAAATTTACAAGAACCCCTTCCAATTGAATGTCATATTTGGAATTCAAATACCTTGAAGCCTAATTATACACTTATTTCAATAACGTTAGTCGCCTGAAAAACTACAAAGCTGAGACCGACAAGGATTATGGGTAGGTACATTTCTACATGTTTTAACCGCTTGATAACTGTTGACGGACTTGAGATCTTCTACCAGCTAGTCTCACCTCCTCTGAGCATCCTCAACTGCTGCAGTTTGTATCAAAAAAGCTTTACTTGTTTTAAACAAATGTTTTCCCATGATCCTCAATGATCTCAACTTTCTAGGTTTTTAGTGACTAATTTTATTGAAATAAGTATATATACCCGTAGTAAGTTTAAATACTTCAATCAGTATATCGATGAAACATTCTTTTATTTTATAAGTATGTAGTTATATCCAGGAGAACAAGCCTAAGTAACAAAAAAGTTTTATATATAACACACCTGGAAATGAAAATGAATGACAAAATGGGAAATGAATGAGAAGTATCACATACCTGTCTGATGTCAGCAAAATGTACTCTTACTTTCTCTCTCAGTATTGATTCAACTTCGATAAAACTGAGTTTAGGGTTTGGTGACTTTGAACCTAAAAACACAAGCACAAAAAAGATTACACTATTAATATCGGCTCATAGTAAGATTACTTTTAACCATAAAACATTGCAGTTTTTAACAGGTTTTTATCTTGAATGTTGATTTTATTGTATCAAGRTAAAATTATCAACTTTAATTTAGCGTGAAGCGCTAAAATAATAATAAAAATACTAATTTAAAAACCATGGTGGAATAGTATTTATAGACGGAAGCCATTTTGGATAAAAGCCAACATATGTGTGATCATGAAACAGCTGACTTTGAGATAAAAAAACATTTTCATCAGAAATTTGGTCGAAATTACAACAAAAGTTTAATTTTAGTATTCAAACAGCCCTTTGTGGATCTAATGCTATTTCTAAGGTAAATATTAGGTAAAATTTTTAAAATCAAAAATGAAAGTGTGATGCGTTTGTGGTGTAAGTTTTGATTTTTAACGCCTTGAATGGCGGAGTTTGTTTCTAGAGTATCACTTCAGATAGAATAGACTATCAGAATCAAGTTCATGTATCGCAATAATTAGAGTTATCTCTTTTATGAAGTCGGAAAGATATGAGTCCAATAACAAAACAATGTAATAAAGTTAAATGAGCAAAAACACAGCATGAGCACACGTTACGTTTAACCTTACTTACCGTTGCTTGAAAGTGAAGACAAGGACAGAGAACGCCTTCCATGATTTGGCAAAGGAATATCCACAAATGTATGTGATCTAGGAGTATCTTTAAAAGTATATTCTGTTCTAGTTTTGACACCAGATCCTGGTCTAGAGTTTCCTGTAGAGAGCCGTGATTTTGGTCGAGGAGAAAAGGACAGCCCTCGCGAAACGGGCCTGATGTCCGCGAAATTAAGAACCGAAGGTGAAACTACAACTTTAGCCATTTTAACGCCGTAATTTTGATTTTGTAAGCTCTGAATTAGTTCCAGTGATTCCTGTTATTATATATCAACCATATTCTAACACGTTTAAGAGCCGTGTTTTGATGCGGTTGCTAAGTAAATGAATAAAATATGGCGTCCGACCGTTGCTATGCACTTGACTGACTACACACAGCTGATGATGAACCAATCAGAGTCCGAGATCACTTGAACAGCCTTTTTAACTCAATTCCTTCACAAAAGTGATTAGAAATGGGATGTTTTTAACGTCTTTTTGACAAACCATACGATTGTTTTCGTTAATATAAGCAATTACAGCTAAAAGTTTTTTTCAAATGGAAAATTTGCATACTAATTTGACTATAAATATAAATATGCTTATCCTCATACAGTCATTTAATGTGATTGCTTATAATATTTATTCCCTAAAAATGAAAAAAATAAGACAAGAAGTTGTACACTTATCTACAAAGTACTTCAAAGGAATGGTTACTTTTTAGTTACTTTTGGAAGTATAAAATGAAAAAAATAAGACAAGAAGTTGTACACTTATCTACAAAGTACTTCAAAGGAATGGTTACTTTTCAGTTACTTTTGGAAGTATTAAAAAAAATTTTTTTTACTTCTTTTTGTTGGAAATTGATGACCAATTTATGAAGATGGAATTTTTCTTATTGTTATCTTCTTCTACGTCTCTTATTCCCTGCTTTTCTTTACAATGACTGCTTTGCTAATATCAAATCCATGTAAGCACCAGATAAGAGATCTTCTTTCAAAATCCCTAGCTTATCCATCAGTTCGTCAGCAATTTTTTGTCCATATTCTGTAGTTTGTCCCTCTTCAAGAACCACCTTCAAAAAATGTTTGTTGAATGCCATTTTTACTATTATATTTTATTAGTTTTTAATATTTTTATCATATTAATTAGTATTATTTTAGATTTGAATATAGAGTTTTAGTGATTCTGAGATGATAATCACTGCTTGAGCTGTGATTTTGAGGTTTACCAAAGTTTTCCAGATCCAAAGTAATAATAAAACGTTTTTTTTATCCTGAGTTTCGACTTTTCTCTGATATTCAAGTCTAAAATTATACTAAAACTATTATTCCCGTTTTAAATCATATTCTTTTTTAATGATAATAACAATTTATAATAATACATGCTTTATTAAAATGGAAATACACATTAAAATACTGAAAAAACATGTGAAACAAAAAAATATTGGAAAAATAAAATCAAGGATTTTGGTAAACTAACACTTCCCTATCAACCTCCTTTATCTCTCATTTGTCTCTTCCCATGAAAAAAGGGTATAATTACCTCTAATTCCATGAAATCTCCAAGATTATCGACATGGTCCACATGAACTCTGGTCTGTCCAACCATGTATAAGTAGCGCTGCTTTTTCACAACACCTATGACAAAAATTCTGGTCATTCAGTCACCTTAAAGATTACAATTAGTCTCATATATTTACCCCCCCCCCTCCCCCACTGTTTAGTGTGCTCCACAGCCCCTGCTGCACCCTACAGAGACTCATATATGTGATGCGTACTTCTTTGTGCATACTATAAATGAGCTTTATATAATGGTATAAATAATTTCACCTCTTATTCCTAAAGCATGTTGGAGAGTGGTCAAAAGCTCCTGGGGTTGATCTGTTGGTGCTATGTAATAATCTGAAAGTTTAGGTCCACTTGTGTCAGATCTTTCATAGTAGATCAACTGAGACGGTTTATCTTTTAGATGCCTTAACTTAAACAAACAATAAAAAAATGTTACTGAGTAAAAAACAGAAACTTTGTAAACCTAAATGAATTCTCCCCCCCCCCTNCACCCCCTGTACCCAAACATTGCACTCTCAGAAAGATTCCTTTTTTTGCCATAGGAACAATAGATTTGGGAGAGTCAAAAAAATTAATTATCTAAATAATGTTAACATATTATTATATTGTGTAGTTCCAGAAATCATCCATACCCCCTTGCACCAAGGAATTTTTTTAGATCCCCCCTCCCTACCCCTGGAAATTCCCATTTTCTTCCATACAAACTCCAAATTCAGCAATTTTTTTTTCTCTCATCCCCCTATACTTTGGAAATACCAAATTCCTTTGTGGGGGGTGGGGGGGGGGGAGGCGAGCATTATCACATTACACATAATCAAAATACATAAGAAGCTAGAAGTGGGCAATGTTGCCACAGACAAAATAGATAGAAAGCTTGAATTACAACAAACTATCTAAAATGCATCAAAGTATTTTGCTACGCTTCAGAAATTGAAATAATATATATTTTATATTGTTTGGGAAAAAACACCTATGTACCTTTAGTATACAGTGCCAAATAAATTATAAATTATATAAACTATAGCTATACCCACTATAGGGCAAATAATACCGGTAAGTAAACATAAAATAGTACGAAATTAATCAATACCTTTAATCTTCCATTTGGAACGTTGAAAAACATATCTTCTTGGTTGATCAAACTACCTGTAAATCAAGTTCTATTTTCACAAATTTTATCAAATACCAATTTACAAGTTGTAAAGTATAAAGTATTCTAACCTTCTTTGCCACTCAGCTCTTTAGCTCTGCGTTTTAAGTCTTCTACATTTCGTACTTTAGCTTTAATTTCCACGTTTGAGGGCATTTTTTTACGTATTAAAACTCCAACACACTGACCAATACTATATATATTTAGAAYTTTTAGCGCCAAAAATAAGGCCGAAAGGAATTCCGGTCCTAACATTAACTTCCGGTAGGTAATCTTGAAGATTATAAGGTTATTTGAAAAGATAATTTAAGAAAATAAGTGTTGAAAACATTAACGTTTATAACTTTTTCTTCTAGTTAAAGATTTTCGATAGACTAAAAAACAATTTAGGTGAAGTTTTTTGAAGAAATTTCAGAGTTCCGGTTATATGACTTCCGCTCGCCTTAGTCCGGCGCATACAGGGGTGAACGCGCTATGCTTGAACGAGCAAGAAACCAAGATGGCGTCCGTTGCTGGCTGACGAGGAGAGAAACGTGAACTACGACTTTAAACATGGAAAAACCTACAGTTGAGCAAGTAAAAAACGTCATCAGTACCCTTTATTCTAACCCCGATCCTCACAGCAAAGAAAGAGCTTCAGAATGGCTTGGAACTTTACAGCGATCGGTGAGAAACACTCGACATTTTTCTCGGCATTTGCTGGTTGTTCTATTTTTCTTGCCGCACTTAGAACTGTTAACTTGCTTTTATTTTATTCTAATGCATCGCTATAGCACTTGTTTTTGACTGCATCTTGTAAAATCTTTGGTTATTGTACAGTTAGTTTTAAATGAAGCATCACTGGCTTAAATAAAAGTTAATATTTTGTAAACTCAAGCAAGATTTATGCTGACTTATTCTTTGGTCAATTTATTCAAACTGCGACTTTACTTACTCTTGACTTACTCTTTTTATAATGCAATAGTTTAGATTCATTCGTTATTAACTAGATCTTCGCAGTAGCTGCTGTGCATTGCAATCCACCCCAATAGGTGATCAAACATGAAGCTTACGCGACCTCTTAGCTTACAGCTGTAGTTGATCTTTGTAACGAGACATTCTCCTTCCATACAGCTAACTTACGAATCAAACTGGAATTTAATGACCTGGGTTTGAGAAAAGCATGAAAAATAGAGAATACAAAGAAAAAAATCCATTATAAAATCAAGGGAATTAATTTTGATCTAACAACATTTGTGATTACCCACACGTGATTTCAAGTTCAGGTTTTGAACCTGTGACTTCAGAGGTCAATGAAATATTGAGTACATCAATCACTGATATACTTCTATTGATTCTCAGTACACCAGATATTGATCAGGTTATTTAGAACACGCAAAGAATACATTTAAAAAACAACTTGTTTTCTGTTATGCTTTAGGTTTTTGCTTGGGAAATATCAGATCAGCTGTTAATGCAAAACGTCAATGTAGAAACCACTTATTTCGCAGCTCAGACAATGAGAACTAAGGCAAGTATTTAAGCTATGTTCTTTTTGACTGTACAACTAAATATTTAGCAATTATTCGCCGAAAGCGAAGTGATTATCGGGGAATATTTACCGAGACGCAAGTCTTAGAGCAGCGAGGTAAATATTCTCCACATTCACTGAGCCTGAGGGTAATAATTGTTTTAGCATATACCAACTTGTGTACAGAGTAACTTATTTTTATATACAATAATTCAATAAAAACAAACAAACAGAAACTTTTTGTTTGAGTGACAAATTCACGCAAAACGTTTAGCAAAACTTTTAGGCCATACTTCGTTGCCTTTTTAGTATTGATAGGAATGGCATTTACTTTCATTTTTTCAATTTCCTCATCGGAAATTGTTGCAAAATGATTGCCGGCAGATGCCATTTTGTTGCCGACTCAATATTCCGAGATTCAGAGGTGAATATCGTACAATATTCACCTCCAATTAACCAATGAACGTGCGCGTTCTTAGGAAGTACACAAGTTGGTATATGCTAATTACAGTCATATTTGGATTTTCTTAACATATATATCTTTTGTGTAGGTCCAATATTGTTTGAGTGAACTTCCACCTACACAATATCAGGTAAGTTAGAAAAAAATCTTCTATTATCGTCCAAAAGTGCCACTGCTGCTCTATTGACATGAACTAATTATTCTTTTTTCTATTCCAGTCTCTCAAAGAATCTATTATCAATCATCTATCTAATGTTCAAAGTGTATCACAGGCCATAGTAACTCAGGTAACGAGCCTTGGTCTAGGTTTGACTGTTTCTTTTCCAAACTTCATATGTATGTGATAATAACTAGTTGGAGCTACATGGGTATGTTGAATACAACAAGTGAATAAGAATAACTAGTGGTTACTAGTTGGGACTGTGTTGGTGTGTTGAATACGACAAGTGAATAAGAATGACTAGTGGTTATTAGCTGAGACTGCGTTAGTGTGTTCAATACAACAAGTGAATAAGAATGACTAGTGGTTACTAGTTGGGACTGTGTTGGTGTGTTGAATACAACAAGTGAATAAGAATGACTTGTGAATACTAGCTGAGACTGTGTTGGTGTGTTGAATATAACAAGTGTATAAGAATGACTAGTGGTTACTAGTTGAGACTGCGTTTGTGTGTTGAATACGACAAGTGAATAAGAATGACTATAGTGGTTACTAGCTGAGACTGTGTTGGTGTGTTGAATACAACAAGTGAATAAGAATGACTAGTGGTTACTAGCTAAGACTGTGTTAGTGTGTTGAATACAACAAGTGAATAAGAATAACTAGTGGTTACTAGTTGGAGCTACATGGGTGTGCTGAATACAACAAGTGAATATAAGAAAGAAACTTAGTGTCAGTACAGTTAAAACTCTTTTACAGTGTTTAAGGAATGCATGTATGTAGGTTTAAGCTTAGGAGTGACTTGTAAATAGCACTTCCAAAATGTGTAATTAGAAAAGTTCCATAAGGATGTGTAGATAACTTACTAGTAATCAAGCCAATTTAGTAACTTAACTTGCTGTTCTTATTGATTTTACTTGCAGCTTTGTCTTGCCTTAGCTGATTTAGCTGTTCAGATGTCACAATGGACAAACGTAGTTAATAATTTATATGAAAGGTAATGTAAAAATAATAGACTTATCCGGAATGCCTTTGAGTGATCACAATGGCTCAAAGTCCTGGTTGGACTTGTTATGATATTTTAACTTTTTAAAACCACAAAGTCTAACCTCGACTTGTAGCAATAGTCCCCTTCACAGTTCCCTGCTCCAACTTGAAACGTAACCGTGCCTTTGCATCGAAGCAAGACAAATGGTGAGTGGGCAATGATAGAGACCTTTTTTTAACACCTTGGACAATTATTCACAGCTCTCTATCATTGCAAGCTCACCGTTTGTCTTGCTTCAATGCACAGGCATGGCTACCTTTCAAGATGGCGCAGGGAGCTGTGAAGGGGACTATTTTGTGGTCACTCAAATCAATTTAGAAAAAGTATATTGAGAACTGATTTTGATTATTTGTACTGTTAAAACAAGTGGATGATATTAGTGTTCCATGACCTGCCATAGTCAGTGCAAATCTACACTACCCAAAAAAACTTGACTGTACTTTCTCTTGTTGCAATTGTCTTATAAACATGCGAAC